AGAATATTTTACTTTCTAACTCCTTGGAGGTCAAAGACCTATAAACAATGAGGTGATGTACTCCTTCGTTGAGAAGGGACCACCAGGATAAGGAAGTGATTTTCTTTGTTTCTCATCCAGTCTCTTTAAATCTTTGAGCTACTATTCTTCTCCAAATTATCAGCCCTAATCTTTTCTTTAAGAAAGAAAGATAAAGGGATTTTTCAGTCACACAGTGATTTAGGTACGACATAAAGCAGATGTTAGAGATTATTAGAGGACCTTTATTTCTTCTTAATTTACGGTATTTTCCATTTGCTTTTCAGTGCTGATAAATCTCACTCTCAGAATATCAACAAGGTACTGAGTGGATAACATTTTCCATGAAACTACTTATGTAATTTTATCACCTGTTATAAGACAAAATATGTAATTCAAATAGGAGCAAGAATTCTCCTACTCATTACAGCATTATGATAAACATTCGCTATAAAATAGAATTTCTGAGGGACAATTGTAAACTCACATCCCTCAAAAGTAGTTGTAACAAATAATTGGATTTTAGTTAACCGAATGTAAGTGAAGTTGGAAGAAATAAGTGAACCATTGTCTATGATGTGTAGCAGAAGAAAAGCTGCATTTTCCCTGCCTTATTTCACTGATGTCTCCTCAAATGTCTCCAAAATATATTCCAAACATTTCTTAGATATGGTGAAATATCCTTTCCTCTGATTCACAGAACTCTAGAATGAAGTTGAAAAACTCCTTAACTCAGAGTATGGAGGCTGCTGTGCTCACTGTCTGATTCTGAACCTAAACTCTAAGTTTTGCATTTTTCCCCAGCTCTTGTTTTTCCTGTGATAAATGGCAATATAATGCATTCAAACACCTTCAAATAACTTTTTTAATTTTTAATAAAACCTTGATGTCAGCAGCAGTTAAGATCGTAGCATTCTGAGGTATAGTTCTTGTTCCTGTTTATTTCAGACACCAGTGTTATTTCTCAAAGTACAAAAGTACTGGAAACCTGTTCAGGTAGCTTCCAAATATTCTTTTTTATTTTAAAAACAAAAAAGAATAAAAATGATGCAAATTTCAAAAAAGAGGAAATGAACACTACTTAATATATTGCATAATTTTATCTTGACAGTAGTTGTTCAGATTACAAGATCTAGTTTTCAGTTATTCTTATGACCATATTGTATTCTTTGTTTCTGCATACACTGCAAAAGTCCTTGACTAAAACTCAATATTGACATGAAAAATATATTTCCCTATATTATTACTGATAACCTTTAAACTATTTTTCATTGATATATAGGTTTCTTTCTGTTCACATCAGTAGTAAGAGTCATTACACACAAACCTAATGCCAAGTGGAGCCTCTTCTTTCAGCAGAAGAGAAAGTACTGCACGTTAGGATAGTTGCTGCATGTTTATTTATACACTCAGAAGGTTATCATAACTTGAAACCTTTTTGCATAGCAACTTGTTTGCCTGCCTTGCTTCAGGTGCCTCACATTCTCAGACATGGAATAACTTTTTCACATGAGTTACCTTGGGCACTCTGTGTTCTCAAAGCTGGCCTTGCTTTAGCACCTCATATCTAGCTTTATATGCACCCCACAAGAGACAAAGAGAGACATAGAAAGAAATAAAGATGGAGAGAGAGAGAGAGAGAGAGAGAGAGAGAGAGAGGAGAGGAGAGAGAGAGAGAGAGAGAGAGAGAGGGAGTGTACTGCAGACAAGTTTTAGGTTTATAGAAAAATTGAGCAGACAGTAACAAGATCTCTCAAATCCCTTTTGTTCAATTTCTAGTGCAGTTTTCCTATCATTATCTTCCATTTCTGTGGTATATTTATTAAAACTGAGGCAGAATTATTGTGTTATTTCTGACTGAAATCTGTCATATGAATATGGGTGCACTCTTTGTGTCATTCTTTCTACTGTTTTTTTTTTTTTTGGTTGTTGTTGTTGTTTTGTTATTGTTTGGGGTTTTTTGTTGTTGTTGTTTTGTTTTGTACCAGGGATTGGACTCACGATCTTGTGTTTCCCAAGCAATTGCTTAAGCCACCGAGCTATATTCCCAGCCTATTGTACTGGTGTTAACAGGTATATAATGTAATGTATCCACCATCCACATTTTCATGCAAACTACCTTCATTGCCCTAAAAATTCCCCCTTTGCTCCACTTATCTGTCTTTCCTATCTTTTCTCCACCCAAATATCTGGCAACTGATGATCTTTTAATGCATTTCCTATTTTTTTTCCTTTTTTTCCCCTGGCATTTAGGGATGGACCTAGGGCCTTCTCACTGAGGTACATAACCAGACCTTTTCAAAAACTTTTTTTATTTTGAGACGAGATCTTCCTAAATTGCACAGGCTGGGCCCAAAATTATGACACAGCATTAATTTTTTTTTCAAAAAGTAATAAAGTTAGAACCTATAGAATGTTTTATACCCCAACTAGCTTTCTCTTTATAATGATTTTATAATGATTTTATGTCTACTTTATGTTAATTTCTGTAGTTCGATAGCTTAGTTTGAAAAGTCAATTGTTACTGTATGAATGTACTACAAATTGCTCATTCAGGTGCCTTTTAAGGTCACTTTGGGTTCTTCTAAATCTTTGTCTTCCTGTTATGAAACAGATTGCTTTAGGTGTCTATGTTGTTCTGTAGACATCAGTTTTCAATTTAGTTTTATAGATGCCAATGAGCTTGACTGTTCATTCAAATCGTTAGACTATGCTTGTTTTTGTAAAGCTTGCTGTGCTATCTTAAGAAGTGGTGTATACTTTTGCATTCTCACCAAGGAGAGAGTTCCTGCTATTTCACATTCTCATGTTGGGTGCAGCAAATTATTTGAAATTCAGCCATTTGAACAGATGTGGTATGGTTTTCTATTGCTGCTTAACTTAAAATTGTGTGAGATACATTGAAGATTCTTTTCATATGGTCACCTGCCAGCCGAATATCTTATATACATTTATATATATATATGTTATTGTTGCAGACTTATGTCTGGATTCTCTATTCTATCTTTTATGTATTCCATTGATTTGCCAGTGCCACACTGTTGATTACAATAGTTTTATACCTATATTTAAGTCAGCTAATGTTGGTTCTTTTCCTTCAATATCATGCTGGTTAACCATAATATAGCTGTAATATATGCCAAAGTTCTTCCCAGAAATAAAAACATGTCATACAACACTCATTTAAATCCCAGAGTTCCTATCAGAATACAAATGCTTCAACTTTGCTACTACTAGCATATTCATTCACTATTTTAAGGTGCTAAATGTTATTTGACCATAATTATAATAAAGAGCTAAAAATTAAAAACTGGAGTTACTATGCTATTTTTAGAGCTTGTGGATGAAAGCAAAACTCTACTTGCAGACATCAGTAAAACTATTTGTAATTAATCTTACAATAATCTTCAATGGGAGCAAACTGCGCTTTGAACAAAAATTTCTTATTCCAAATAAAAGAATGCCAAATATCCAACTTTGTACATGGAACATTTCACTATTCTTGGTGTGTGTCATTATTTTAGTATACATACAATATTAATTGTGCTTCTTTTTCTCAGGAGATTTCACCTCTCAAAGTCTCCCGTGGATTCTGTACTCTGGAGAATATGTTACCTTTCCCACTCCATGGAGGTCATCTATAAACAATGGGGTGTTGTACTCTCTTGCTGAGACAGGACCACCAAGATAGTGAAGTGATTTCCTTTGCTGCTCACCCAGTCTCTTTAAATCTTTGAGCTACAATTCACCTTCAGATTATTAGCCCTAATCCTTTCTTTAAAAAAGAAGCATTCAGACTTCTCACAGTCACAGAGTTATTTAGGTGCAGCATAAAACAAACTTTAGAGATTATTAGAGACCTTTAATTCTTGTTAATTTTCAGTACTTTTCACTTGATTTTCAGTGGTGATGAATCACATTCTCAGAATATCAAGTAGGCACTGAGTGAATAACATTTTCCATGAAGCTACTGATGTAATTTTGTCATCTATTACAAGACATAATATGTGAATCCAATAGGAGCAAGAATTCTCCTACTCATTACAGCATGAAGGTAAGCATTCACTGTAAAATGGAATTTCCAAGGGGCAGTTGTAAATTTACCTTCCTCAAAAATAGCTGTATCAAATATGTGGATTTTAGTTAACCTAATGCAAGGGAAGTTGGAAGAAATAAGTGATGTGTTGCCTATGATGTGTAGTGGGAGGAAAGCTGTCTTAATTTACTGATGTTTCCCAAAATGCCCCCAAAATATATCCCAAGACATTTCATAGAAATACAACTGTATGGTGAAATACTCATTTATCTGAATCACAGAATTTTAGAATGAAATTCAAAAACCCCTTAACGTGGAGCATGGAGGCTGCTGTGCTCAGTGTCTGATTCTGAACCCCAATTCTAAGTTATGCATTTTCTTCCAGTTCTTTTTTTTTCTGTGATAAATGACAACCTAATGCTTGAAAATACCTTCAAATTACTTTTCTAATTCTTGATAAAACCCTGATGTCAGCAGCACTCAAGATTCTAGCATTTTGAGGTGCAGGTCCTATTCCTGTTTATTTCAGACAACACCAAATAGTAGGAAGCTGTTTGGAGAGCTTCTACATATTCTTTCCTTATTTTAAAAACAAAAATGAATAAAAATGAATCTGAATTTCAAAAATAGGAAATGAATACTAGTTAATAGATTCCATAATTTTATCTCAACAGTACTTGTTCAAATTACAAGAGCTAGTTTCCAATTGTTCTTATGACCGTATTGTATTATTCATTGTTTCTGCATTGTAAATTTGACTAAAACTCAGTATTGACATGAAAAATATTTTCTCTAGCATATTACTGACAATCATTATAAACTTCTTCCTGTTTGCATGTTTCTTTCTGTTCACACCAGTAATAAGAGAACTACCCACCACAAGAACATAGTTTTTTTTTACTTCTCAATTTTTCTTTTTCTTAGTTTCACATCCTATTTCCTGAAGGAAATGACCGCATATAATTACTCTACCGTGACTGAATTTGTCCTGGCAGGACTGACAGCACAACCTGAGCTCCAGCTGCCCCTGTTCCTCTTGTTTCTAGTTATTTATGGAGTCACTGCGGTGGGGAACCTGGGTATGATCCTCCTAATCTCTCTCAGTTCTAACCTTCAGTCTCCCATGTACTTTTTTCTCAGTAATTTGTCATTCTTAGATCTCTTTTATTCCTCAGTTGTTACCCCCAAACTGCTGAGAAACTTCATGTGGGAGCAAAATATTATCTCCTATCCTGGGTGCATGACACAACTTTTTTTCTTTTGTGTTTTTGCTATTGCTGAGTGCTACATGCTGACTGCTATGGCTTATGATAGATACGTAGCTATCTGTAAGCCTTTGCTCTACAATGTCACCATGTCCCCAAAGGTATGCAAGGCACTGGTGGTGGGGGTCTATGTCATGGCAACATTTGGAGCTGTGGCCCACACTGCCGCTATGGCTAGACTTTCCTTCTGTAAGGACAATGTCATCCATCATTACTTCTGTGACATCTTTCCTCTCCTAGAGCTGTCCTGCTCCAACACCCACCTCAATAACCTCCTGGTGATATTCATAGGTGGATTCAATATGTTGGCCACAACTGTGCCCATCACCATCTCTTATGCCTTCATACTCAGCACAATTCTTCAGATTCCTTCATCTGAGGGAAGGTCTAAAAGCTTTAGCACATGTGGTTCTCATTTCATGGCTGTTGGTGTCTTCTATGGATCTATAATATTCATGTATTTTAAACCAGCGTCTCGCAGCAGCAACATGGCCCAGGAGAAGGTAGCTTCTGTGTTCTATACCACAATAATCCCCATGCTGAATCCCTTAATCTACAGTTTGAGGAATAAGGATGTTAAGAAGGTGCTGAGCAGAGTGCTGAAGAAGAGGCGTGGCTCAGCCTGAGCTACTGTCAGAACCACTAAAGGTCATGAAGTTAAATTGTCCCTTTCCTTTTCTTAAGATTAACTACCTTTTCTGCTTTTTGAATCTATATCCTGGTCCTTTGAAGACAGGTGATAGATATTAACTTCTACTGAATTTATACACACACACAAACTAATATATACCTTGGACAAACTATCACAAGATAGTATGATTCCCTGTATCTGTGATAAGTCTTAGAGATATTTCTTTTTATTTTACTGAATTAATCTTATGTGGCCCTTCTGCCTTGCTGAGGAAAAGTAAGATAGATATTTTCTTCTATTTTTGACAAACTGATATTTATATTTTGCCTTATAATATAACTAGCCATAAAATACTCAGAATAATTCATATTAGACCAGAATTGGGGCAAGATCATGAGGCAAGTCCAAAGAATAAGTTTGTTTTTTGCTAATATGTCTATTGTTTTTAATATTGTTTGCTAATAAGAATACTTCTATTGTTGAAATCTCCACCATAGATTTTCCACCTTGCTTTGTTCTACTGTGAATCTTTGTTTTGAAAAGTTAAATATTTAAATTAAGTAACCTTTATAAGATTGTAAAAATAATTTGTTAACAGATAAGTAACTACATGATAGGATAGGGGGGCCATTATATGGAAGGAAGATTTATCCTAGCAAAATGCATAGAAACTGATGATTCCACTTTCAAAGCTCAGTGTCCTACATGAACAACTTGTCTCAAGATACTGAGATCATGGTTATCTCCTGGAAGGTTGTCCAATGAATTCTTTTCTTCACCTCATTGCCACCTATTCCATTTCCAGACTGCATTTGCCAATCTACTACCTGATCTGGGCGGGGGGAACGACCTGCAGAGTAGAATGATGGTGCTGAACAACCTCATCCACTCAAGGTGTGAGCGCCCTTTCATTCTCCACTGTCAGGAAGGGAATGTCCGTTTCCAGGCCCCCATGATCCTGTGAGAGACCTGCAGGAAAGAACCTGTCCATTCCTTCCACTTCTTCTCTGGAGTTCCTGTAAAACCAAGAGCAACTGCTTAAAAACGATGTTTGCTAGGAAGCACTGAGATGAAGCTTAGATTCTGTTCTCCATTTTTTCTTATTTCCAAATAGTATTTTTAAGCATCATAGACACAGAACAAACTTCACTACATGAAGTGCGCAATTGGCAAAGTGTTAGCACACACACAGATTGATAGATAGATAGACAGATAGGTAGATAGATATACATATAGTCATCACAGTCATTGTAGCAAATCTACCCAAAGTCAAATGTTCCCTATATCCCTTGTTAATATCTTCCTCATGTGTTTTCATGCTTTTAAGCTACGTTATGTTTTGTTCAAGAATTTTATATGAATGAAACTGTGTGGGAATTAGTCCACAGAACTTGCATTACTCAGTATAATAATTTTTGGTTTTAACACAATGTTTCAGCTTTCATTTGATCATTTGTTTTTTATTGTTGTGATAGTATTCCATTGTGTGAATGTATTGTAATGTGTATATCAAGTTATCTGGTGATGGACATTAAATTGTGAACAGTTAGGTGTTTAATGAATTGAAATTCAGTAAGTATTTGGACACAAGTCTTCACGAGAACATATGCTTTTAATGCTCTTATTTCTCTTGGATAAACACATGATAATGGCAAGTCTAATCACACTTCGGGTGAATATTTATTTAGAAACTGAAAGCTTGACTTCTAACATGGCTCCCCACTTTCCATTTTCCATTTTCTTTAGAAGTTTATAATAAGGTCAGTTCCTCCGTTGCGTCAGCACCATTTGTGGTGATATTCCTTTTTATCACATATTGCTCTCTCCTGATGTGCATATATTTTTGCTGTGATTTATTTTGCATTTCCCTAATGAGTACAATGTTATACATCTTTTGTAAAAAAAGCACATGCAAGGGCACAAACACATTTTTTCCTCACATATTCTGCTTCTTTTTGAAGATTTTTCTTTCTTACTGTTGCTTTGAAAAATATTTATAAATTCTGGATATCAAGCAGTAAATAACTAATTTGGAATGTTCTAGCAATGCATGTGGATCATTTTCATTCTTTTGGGAAGCAAAAGCTCACGATATTAATGAAATCTAATTTATCAATATGTTTTCTATCATGAATTATGCTTTCAGTTTCAAATCTAATATAGCTTTGTCTAAGCCAATCACAAAAATATCTTAAAATTTGAATTCTAGAAAATCCACAGGTTGATGTTCCGTATTTACCTTTATGATATCTTATGATATTCACTGCAAATTATAAATCTAGAGAAAATTTTTTTTGCTTTATTTTGGTCTAATTACTTCCAAGTTTTATTGAAAAGACTCTTTCCATCGATTTACCTTTTGTAAAAAATATTTTTTCTGTTAAATATATGGATGTATTTCTGGACTCTCAAATTCTTTTGTAATACTTTTCAATCTTGACATCAATATGACACTTCTTGTTTCACTAAATTTATAACAACTAGAAATTGAGCCAGGCATGGTGGTGCATGCTTGTAATCCCAGCACTCAGAAGACTGAAGCAGGAGGATCTTTGTGAATTTGAGACCAGCCTGTGTACCCAAGTGAGCTCAAGGCAGACCAGAATTGCACAGTGAGATCTTATCTCAAAAAGACAAACAAGATAAAAAGAGAAAGAAAGAAAGAAAGAAAGAAAGAAAGAAAGAAAGAAAGAAAGAAAGAAAGAGAAATTGGGTATTGATAATGTTACTAATTTTTTCCATGTTAGTTTGATTATTTTGGGCATCTAACATAAATTGAGTGGAAATGATAAAGGCAGACACTTTTATCACTAATGTTCTTAGGAGGAAATCATTCGTGGTTCACAAATTTGATGTTATATGTTCTGTGTCTGATTGTGGAATTTCTCTATTATTACAGGTTTGTTGAACAGTTTTATTTTTAAATCAGAAAATAATGTTATTAGATTAAATAATAAAGCTTGATTTCATCATATTGCGATTTTTGTTTTAAAAATATTTTAACCATATTGATTGATTTTCAGAAATTTTAAAAAAAATAATGAACTAGGGGGCTGGGGATTTAGCTCCGCGGCATAAGCACCTGCCTTGCAAGCAGGCAGTCGTGAGTTCGGGCCCTGGTACCGATAAAAAAAAAAAGAAAAAGACCAAAAAAAAAAAAAAAAAAAAAAACAAAAAAAACAAAAAAATAATGAACTATTGGACATAATTCCACTGTTACATGATTTTGTATTATACTTTAATCTTGCGTAGCATAAGGAGATAAATATAATTTGCTTTTTGTCACAATGGGTATTTAAGGTTACTAGCACTTTATTAAAATAATATTTTCTCTGCTATTTTAGAAGCTATTTATATTAAAAATTTAATTTGTGCATATTTTAAATTTATTTTTAGACATAGTATTCCATTATTGTTACTGTCTTTTGTGGCAATGATAGCATACTTTTTAAGTTCAGAAGTTATATGATGTTTTAATACATAATTTTTCTCACTCTTCCTATAGCTTTTAGCTTCATCTTGAGATATTTTTGCAGAGATGTTTTTCTACATAAAGCTTAGTATTACATAGTCTTGCTCTCATGCTAAAGGAAAAGCTCATTAAAGCACATTTTTCTCAGTAATTACAAATGTATATCTAGACAACATAAAAAAGTTACCAAAAGACATTTAAAATAAACAAATCTAGCACCAAAATGTACTCAAAATGGATCATATGCCTAACCATACGACCTAAAAAGCTTTTAGAGGGAAATGTGTGATAATAATTTTGTAATTTTGAAGTATATAAATAACTTTCATATAAACAATTTAAAAAATGATAAATTGAGATAAAAAATAAATACATGTTTTCTCTAAAAAACACCATTTAGAAAATGCTGAAGAAGTCATAACTTGGGATAAAACATCTGCAGAACACATCTGATAGAGCTTTTGCACCTAGAAATGGTATGCATCTGGGATACTATTTAGATACAACTCAATAATAGGAATTCAAACAATAAAAAATGAGTAAATGAGCAAAAGAATTTAATCAAACACTTCCAAAGAAGATAAATAAGTGAATACTAAGATTGGATATATATGTATCACTAGTCACTATGAACTAAGAAAGCAAACAAATGCCATTATATGCTAATGCAAACTGATTAGAATTTACAAAAGTAAAACAAAGAAGTGAAATAAAGTATTGGCTATGACATAAGCTTGCAGCATCTCTCTCAGATAGCTGATTAAAGTTCAAAATTTCCATGTTAATCATTGTGGCAATATGTCCGTAATACCAGCACTTGGCCGGCTGATGAAGGAGAGTGATCCCAACTTCAAGGCAAGTCTAGGCTACATAATGAGGGTAAGGTCACCCTACATGGCCTATTTCTAACCTCTCTTATTACACCAGAACATACATACATTTGAAAAAAAAAAAAAAAAACCCGCCACATGAGAAAATAGTTTGTATACTTTTTACTTAAGCTTGTAGACACTGTATTCCAGCAACTCTACTTACAGGTGTTTCCTCAAAATAAATGACAGTACATGACCAAAATGACATATTGGAAGATTCAATAAGGTCTCAAATAATCAAATGATTAACAACAGTGAAATGAATATATTGTAGTATATTCATAGAATACAATTCAACTAAGCAGCAAAGCTGAATTCTTGAGTGAATATTTAAACCATCATTTTGAGTATTTAATCAAGTACAAATTAATGCATACTTAATTTCATTTACATAAAACTATAAAATGCCATTAGTTCACTCTCATAAAAATGCAAATCAATTACTGCCTTTGAGAGAGGTTGAAAGAACAGAGACAGAATGAAATTGTGTTATGCTGAGTGTGGTACAGGATTCAAAGTTTTACATACACGTCCACACTAGTGAAATTGGGTATTTGCATTCATGCAGCTTTATGTACTTTAACTGTACCTCATTAATTCATGTGTACTGATTCTTCAATAAGATTGAAACATTTTTTAAAACCAAACCCT